TGTGCGTGTGCTCTCAGTAATCTGAGCTGTATATTATGAATCATGTCATGCCTAAATGACACAGATCAGTGCGGAAAATAGAGCATGGATAAACAACGGAGAGGCTGTTTTATTTTTTTTTTTTTTTGCATTGCTTTTCCCTTGCTCTCCTTCTTTTGTCCAGTACGCCCCTCCTTGCCTCCTCTCCTTATTATAATACTGACATAGTTTTTCATACATGAGCCCTGCAGAAGCACCACAGAGCAACCGCACTCATGTGAACAGAAGAAAAAGTGCTCTTATTCAGAAATTGGTTGTAAAATCGACTAATAATTACAAAGAAGCGTCAGATTGTTTATGTTGTATTTACTAATCATACAGTAAAAGTTTTTAATTTCAGATATATTTAGAAATTTCTTTCAAAATATAGAACAAAATGGCTGAAAATATAGTTGCTAAAATATATTTTTAAACATACTTTAATATATTTTTTACAAATACATTTTTAAAATATTTTTAAAAATATATTTTAATGTATTTATATAATATAAAAATGCTAAAATATATTTTAAATTATTTTAAATTTTATTAGGTACAACTGCTTGTTATCGCTAATTTCTAATCAGCCAATCACATGGCAGCACCTCAATGCATTTAATGCATTTAGGCATGTAGACATGGTCAAGACGATCTGCAGTTCAAATTGAGCACCTGAATGGGCAAGAAAGGTGATGTAAGTGACTTTGAACATGGCATGGTTGTTGATGCCAGACAGGCTGGTCTGAGTATTTCAGAAACTGCTGATCTATTGGGATTTCCACGCACAACCATCTCTAGGGTTTACAGAGAATGGTCAGAAAAAGAGAAAATGACCAGTGAGCGGCAGTTCCAGCCTGAACTCACGAGAAAACGTAAGTATTTTATGTTTTGGCAGTTTAGTGGCTAATTCGTACGAATTCTTAGAAGTTCAGTCGTAAGAAATTGTACGATTTTAAAAAGGAGGCGTGGCACCTAACCCCACCCCTAAACTCAACCGTCATTGGGGGATGAGCAAATCGTACTAAAATGTTAGAATTAGATCGAACAAATTCGTACGAATTAGCCACTAAATGAAAAAGTTACGAACTGCCGTGAGATTGTGTTGGCAGTTCTGTGGGTGCAAATGCCTTGCTGATGCCAAAGGTCAGAGGAGAATGGCCAGACTGGCTCCAGCTGATAGAAAGGCAACAGTTACTCGAATAACCACTCGTTACAACCGAGGTACGCAGAAGAGCATCTCTCAACACACAACACGTCCAACCTTGAGGTGGATGGGCTACAGCAGCAGTAGTTGGACAATAGAAGATTGGAAATACGTTGCCTGGTCTGATGAGTCGCGATTTCTTCTTCGACATTCGGATGGTAGGGTCAGAATTTGGCATCAACAACATGAAAGCTTGGATCCATCCTGCCTTGGATCAACGGTTCAGGCTGATGGTGGTGGTGTAATGATGTCGGGGATATTTTCTTGGCACACTTTGGGTCTATTAGTACCAATTGAGAATCGTGTCAATGCCAGAACCTACCTGAATATTGTTGTCTATACCACAGCGTACCCATCTTCCGATGGCTAGTTCCAGCAGGAAAACACGGCATAAAGCGTGAATCCTCTCAGACTAGTTTCTTGAACACGACAATGAGTTCACTGTACTCAAACAGCTTCCACAGTCACCAGAGCTCAATCCAGTAGAGCACCTTTGTGATGTCGTGGAACGGGAGATTCGCATCAGGGATTTGCAGCTGACAAGTCTGCAGCAACTGTATGATGCTATCATGTCAATATGGAACAAAAAAAAAACAGAGGAATATTTCCAGTACCTTGTTGAATCTATTCCACAAAGGATTAAAGCAGTTCTGAAGACAAAAGTGGGTCCAACCCGGTACTAGTAAGGTGTACCTAATAAAGTGGCCAGTGAGTATTTTGTACAAATACACTTTTGAAGATTTTTGAAAATGTATTTTGATAGAATTAACCATATATATTTTTGAATTAAACATATTTTTAAATTCCATACTTAAAATTAATTTATCATCAAAACAGTTGGATACAGAGAATATATATTAAATATATATGGTATTATTATTATTATTATTAATTACATTAAATACATTTCAAATAATTAATATTTGATCTCCACACACATTGTCCTGTAAGGTTAGAGATGTCTTTTCTTCACCCTAAAATATATTTATAAATATGTTTTCCATTTGAATAATATATTTTATTGAACAATAACCTCTATTTAAAATACACTTTGGCCAGAAAAAATATGTAATGTTTTACCATAGAAGGAGTAAAACATTCTCCAGTAATCCCTAATCACAACTTTGAAAAATCAGTTTTTTTACAGTTAAATGTGTGGTGCAGTTTATTTTGTCATTGATTGTATTATGTAAATAATTCTTTTGTATTTTTATAACACCGGCTTCTGTATTCACCTATCAGTTGCAGTGTTTAAAGTAGCTGTGCAGATGATGTTGTTTTGATGACTCCAGCTCTTATAGGGTCTGCTGGGAGGTTTGCATGTGAACAGCGTCTCTCTCTCTCTCCACCTCCAGCATCTCTATGGCGTGTCATTGTGGATCGCGCTCACACCGTGCTGATCTGATCAAGAGCACCGGGAATACTGGGTCAGTGTTTCGTGGTGATGAGGTGTGTGTTTGTGCCCGCACGCCTTGTATTCCTTACATTCTGGGGACCAAATGTCTCTAAGTATACCAATACCAGTAGATTTTCACCTTGTGGGGACATTTATTTGGTCCCCACGAGGAAAAGGGCTCATAAATCACACAGAATGAAGTATTTAAAATTTAAAAGATGCAGATTGTTTCCTGTAAGGGTTGAGTTTAGGGGTATGGTGGATCAAATGAACAGTCTGTACAGTATAAAAATAATTGTCTATGAGAAGTCCCCTTAAAGATAGCTGTACAAGTGTGTGTGTATTGTGACTCGTATTTATTAATATTGTCCTGTACAAGATATTTAGTCATCATGTTATTTATTTGCATATTGTTTGTACTATGAAACATAATGGGCTCTTTGTGATTATTTGGATGCTGTGCCGTTTTAATCAGCATTAGTCATACCGAATAAAATAATCCAATGTCTGTGTGTGTGTGTGTGTGTGTGTGTGTGTGTGTCTGAATGTGTCTAGTGTTAAATGCACAAGAGAGACAGAGATCATAATTTACAAGCACAAAGTTTTCGACTTTATTTCTGTATGGAATATTATGTCATGTCATCTGCTTTCAGGAAAGCAGTGCATTTACATGCATTAAAAGATGTTTAATGAGAATCTCCAATCCTTAAATGAGGTTGTTTTTATAATAGAAAAGGCATCAACCAAATGGATGAAATGATTAATAAAGGACTTTTGATTAACTTTTTAAACAACTCAGAAAACTAATATAATGAACTAAAGAAGCTGTAATGTAATGTCAAGAAATGTACTTACCCCCAAAAAAGTATATAATCAGGGGCTTTTAAAAAGACCAATAAGTTCAACACAGCTTTGATGTCCTGTGTAGAATGTGTCAGAATGTGTATATACATATACAGTTGAAATCAGAGTTATTAGCCCCCCTTTGATTTTTTTTTCTTTTTTAAACATTTTTCAAATGATGTTTAACAGAGCAAGGACATTTTCACAGTATGTCTGATAAATTTTTTTCTTCTGGAGAAAGTCTTATTTGTTTTATTTCGGCCAGAATAAAAGCTGTTTTTAATTTTTTAAAAGCCATTTTACAGTCAAAATTATTAGCCCCTTTATATATTTGTTTTCGATAGTCTACAGAACAAACCATCCTTACACAATAACTTGCCTAATTACCCTGCCTAGTTAACCTAATTAACCTAGTTAAGCCTTTAAATGTCACTTTAAACTGTATAGTAGTGTCTTGAAAAATATCTAGTCAAATATTATTTACTGTCAACATGGCAAATCAGTTTACTGTTTACATGATTGACAATTTATTGTCAATCATGGGAAAGAAATCAGTTATTAAAAATGAGTTACTAAAACTATTATGTTATTATGTTCAGAAATGAGTTGAAAAAAATCTTCTCTCCATTAAACAGAAATTGACATTTAAAAAAAATAAATGGGAGCTAATAATTTAGGGGGTCTAATAATAATAATAATAATTATATATATATATATATATATATATATATATATATATATATGTGTGTGTGTATATATATATTGTGTGTGTGTGTGTGTGTGTGTGTGTGTGTGTGTGTGTGTGTGTGTGTGTGTGCTTGTGTACAAATTGAAATTCAATTCCCAGTGACTTGAATAAAAAACATTAACTAATAGTTATGGTTCAATCGTTGACTGATTACCTAAAAAATGGAGGCGTTTTATGTATTACAAGGCTTCAAATAAGGGATTATTTAACTAAACATTAACTAATCTGCATATTTTTACACTGTAAAATACAACAAAAACAAAACTACTTTCAACCTCATTTTCTACTTTAACATGTTTTAATATGTTACAAGTCAATTTAATTAATGTTAATTTGACCACTTTTTGGCTTAGACTTGAATAATTTGACTTGATAATTTGACACGCACACACACCCTTTGTATTATTTTTAAAAAATATTTCCCAAATGATGTTTAACAGATTCAGGAAATTTTCACAGTATGTCTTATAATATTTTTTGCTTCTGGAGAAAGTCTTATTTGTTTTATTTTGGCTAGAATAAAAGCAGTTTTTAATTTTTTAAACAACATTTAAGGTCAAAATTATTAGTCCCTCTAAGCTATATTTTTTGATATTCTACACAACAAACTATCATTATACAATAAATTGCCTAATTAACCTAACCTGCCTAGCTAACCTAATTAACCTAGTTAAGTCTTTAAATATCACTTTAAGCTTCATAGAAGTATCTTGAAAAATGTCTAGTCAAATATTGGCAAAGATTAAATAAATTATTAGAAATGAGTTATTAAAACTGATTGTGTTGAAGAAATCAGCTTAACGGGGGCTAATAATTCAGGGGGCTAATAATTCTGACTTCATCCATTCATATAAAAATGCATTTTGTTTAATAAAGACTTATTTTCTTTCCATTATTCTAAAGTTGTATATTCTAAAAGTTACCTTGGGTTTCTTCATGTAAATGAATTGTTTTCTATATTTTTTCAAGTGCCTTCAAGTACACTAAATATCTTCAATCAGTGTTTTCCTCTTTTGAGTTCTCAGTTTGCTGATGGTTTACTGTAATGCAACATTCCTTAAAGCACCAGTAGATGTTTTTCTGACGAGCTCGAAGACCAAAAAAGTTCTTCGTGGAACTTAAAGGTTCTGGTGAAAGCCAGGAATCTTCCTCTCGGAGAGCGTGTGCATGTGCACACCTAGCATGAAGTGAACCCGCTCACTGACATCAGAACCCGCTCGCCGCCACCATGGAAGGCTCCGCATTAGTGCAGGCGCACAGAGCTCCAGCAAATGTCAAACCGAGCAGCAATTTCACGCGCGTCTGACGTCAACAAGGGCGAAGGAAAATAAACTTCGCGCACACTTCGGGAGAAACCATTTTCGCCAACGCCGTTTTTTTCTCCTTCCGCGTAGAGAGGAGGAGAGCCCGCTGATATAGGCATGCTCAGCTGAAGCGTCCTGCAGCCTCTGACGCTGGGCGCAGGCGAACTGCGACGGCCGCGCCAAACGAGCTCCAGGTAAGACATATGCACTAGAAATGACATCCGAGCGCGTCGCGCCTTTTAACCGCCGAAAACGGAGGTCCGCAGCCGGCCCGTGCATGCAGGCATTTTTTCCATTAAGGAGCAGTTTCCCGCGAGCGCGCGCGCGTGTGCGTGCGTGTGTTTTCCACCTAATGCAAAAGATAAACACACACTCAGGCAAAAGACGCATCTGCAAACGGTGCGGAGAGCCAAAAAACGCAGCCCGCACCTTGTGTTTGCGCTTGCCGGTGCGAGTCTAGGCCGTTTGCGTGTTTATGTTGATATGGGAGGATATGTAAAAATTGAAACGGGATTATGACAGCGTATTTTCCCCACTCAGTTTGTGCAGTGTGTTTTCTGTACCTGCGGCGCTGCGCTGCGCTACGTTTCCCTCCCCGTTTTGACTTTTAAAATGATTGTTGAGCGGCCTGTGTTTGATGTATACTGTGGCACACACTGCAGTATGGCTTTGCCAGCATAGCACGTTTGTGCTGCTGCTGATGCTGCTGCTGGTGCTGATGCTGTAGGTCATATTACGCGCTTGTGCGCCGCGTTGATGCTCATCAGGAGCTGCGTGTGTTTGTGGCGCAGTGGAGATGCTCAGCGAAATGAAATAAGTGAGAGGTGGAAATTGCATTTGAGTTGGGCTTCTTGCTCTAATATTAACAACCTCTCCCATAGGGATGGGAATGGCTGGTGCGTTTGGGTGTTACTCTGCTTTGCCCATTCCACCCCACCTCTCTCTCTCTCTCTCTCTCTCTCTCTCTCTCTCTCTCTCTAAAGCTCTCTCTCTCTCTGTCTCTCGCCGCTAAGTTCTTAATTAATTCTGATACACACGTGATAATAATTGAATCGTCTCTGTTCGGGCCCTATTAAATGCTGTATTCTGTAAAAGTGACGGAGGAGGGATTTTATCACCTGCTCTTGTGCTGACGGAAGCTACCTGTGTGCCCTACACTGGAGCACTGAGCTCGGCCTGCTCCTTAGAGACAGCGAGTGTGTGTGTGTGTGTGTGTGGACAGAAGAATTTGATTGCTCTTATACAGCTTTGGGATCTTCACATGTTCAGGTTTTTTATATAATCCATGAGCGCACTGTAAACACATGCAGCTTGTTGTCTGTGATGGAGATTCAACTCAAGCTTTAAATAGACCCGCTGGACTTCTTAATTAATGAATACTATCATGGAAATGGGTAGAAATAGACGTTGAGGTGGAAGTGTCACATGCAGCTGTTTATTTATTAAACAAAAACTGTTGGGTAGATAGTCATAACCCAATGCTGGATCAAATATTAACTTTTTAACCCCACAGTTGGAAACGACAACCCAACACTACACTCAAAATGTTTTTATTTCTTTGTTTGTTTAAACTACTTATTTAAAAATGAGCTGAGACAACACAATTCTTGAAATTTTTTATGTTTGATCCAGAAAATTTGTTAAAAGTTTAAAGTTAACTTAATTAATTTGTGTTGGGACAACATGCATGAATTGTGTGGAACCCTGCGCTTTTTACAGTGTGTATTTAGGTACATCTTACGTTGTAAAAAATTCTGGATTCAACACAACTGATTTAAGTTGCGACAACATGAAGGAATTAGGTTAACTTATTAGTTTTTATAAATGTAAGTGGATTGAACACTAAACAACTAAGTTGTTCCCCAAAAAACCTCAAGAATTGTGTTGTTTCAGCTTATTTTTAATAAGTAGTTTGGACAATTGCCATTTTGGGGTGTAGTGGCAAATGTAGTTGGAAGGCATTAAAATAGGAGCATTGTACGAAATTTGAAAATGAATTGGAAATGAATGTGAATATATTATTAGGATATAATTGACCCATCGCAAGCTTTTGTTGCAAATCCGAGGACAGAGCTCTTGAGAAGTCAGATTAGAGATTAGATCTGACATCCAGGGCTCTTAAAGGAACATTATTATTCATTATTAGCATCGTACTGTCATCGTCAAACTCTCGTGACTTTCTATCAACAAGAGCAGATGCTGGGCGGCTTGAAAACAGTCACCGTTTTCACTTGCACTATATAATGAAAGTGAATGACTATAGAGCTGCTTAAATCATACCTCTGCATGTGTTGTGTGAATGATGATTAAACAGCATGAAGACGAGTAAACGACATGCAGTTTTGCTGGGGACTGTCTGTTTAATTTCAGTGCACTCTCCGTTTAATTTAATCCCCATCTAAGTGGAATGCCTAAAATATTAAAAATGTTTCATTGTGATTTTCCTGCGTGTGTGTGTGTGTGTATAATGAAGTTTGTGCGTATCTGACACATTTAGATTGCATAATAAGCCATGTTTTTAATATTTATGATGATACATGTTTAGCGAAAGTGACATAAGTCATGGGTGGCACGGTGGCTAAGTGGTTAGCGTTGTCGCCTGACAGCAAGAAGGTTGCTAGTTCAAATCCCAGCTGGGACTTTGGCATTTCTGTGTGGAGTTTGCATGTTCTCCCCGTGTTCGCATGGGTTTCTCCGGGTGCTCCAGTTTCCCCAAAGTCCACAGACGTGTGCTATAGGTGAATTGAATAAGCCTAATTGGCCGTAGTGTATGTAAGTATGTGGGTGTTTTCAAATACTGGGTTGCAGCTGGAAAGGCATCCGCTGCATAAAACATATAGTATGCTGGAATAGTTGGCGGTTCATTCCACTGTGGCGACCTCTTTTTAATTAAGGAAAAATGAATGAATGAATGAACATAAGTCATGGGTTGGCACTGTCGTCTCACAGGAAGAAGGTCGCTGGTTCGAGCCCTGGCTGGGACAGTTGGCATTTCCGTGTGGAGTTTGTATGCTCTCCCCATGTTCGGGTGGGTTTGCCCCGAGTACTCCGGTGTACCCCACAATCCATGCGGTATAGGTGAATTACATAAACTATAGTGTGTATGTGTGTGAATGAGTGTGTATGGGTGTTTCCCAATACTGGGTTGCAACTGGAAGGGCATCCACTGCCCTTATATATATATATATATATATATATATATATATATATATATATGTTGGAATAGTTGGTGGTTCATTCCACTGTGGTGATCTCTGATTAATAAGGAATTCAGCTGAAGGAAAAAGAATGAATGAACATAAGTCATCATAATTCTGCTGAATATGCAGATGGAGTGACTTTATAAAGTCATTTAACTTTCCAACTTTGTTATGTGTATGATCAATATGAAATTAGACAAATTAATTCATTCATAAAACTAAAACCTTTCTTTTTTTATGAACAAATGAAGGCAGTAAAAGAGTTGATGAATTACCATGACACAGAATGACGAGATTAGATAAATGATGTCAGATCAGTGTTTTGTGAAGTCTCCCTCTGGGATACAGTCAGCGGTTGTAATTATGAACCTCCATTCCAGTGGTGATGCTATGACACTCTCATATTCAATCAACATGAGGCAGCAACACCCCTTTTTCTACCCAGCAACACCGATGTGCTATCATTGACAGCAGCTGTCATGGTCAAATCACACTTTGACTATCGCAGCCTCTCTTCTCTGATCCTCAGCAGCGAGTAAGGGAACACTACCTTTTTTTTTTTTGCGGTCTGATACGATCAAGCAGTGGCGATGGCACCTGCATTGGTATTCACTCTGTTGAGAATGCAGCACTGGAGGGAGGTGGCCAGTTTAACTGTGTCACATGCAGCACCACAGAGAGAGGAGAAGGAGAGAGGGAGCGAGAGCTGTGTCTCAAACGGCATTGTTTGCTTTTTCACTCTTTATTTATTTTTACTCTGGATTGTGCTTTAGGTTACAGCTGATTCAGACACCGAGAGACCTGATTGGCTGCTCACAGTGATGATGTCACCTCCTGAGCACACCAATCAGAGTTAAGGCTGGCAGGGGAAATGCAAGCTCACTGTAATTTCAACCCCATGTTTGACAAATTTACATGGGTTATTAAAGCATCAGTGGTTTTAATGCTTCTGCAATGCGATATCCAAAGCGTGAGGAGCTTTTCCGAGCTGACAAGACCAGAAAAAGAAGAAGTGTGTAGCCTGTTTTATTAATCTGTGCAGTTTTGTTTTATAATTATGACATTTACACTGGATGCTGGTGATGTTGCACGCACATGTTCTCCACAGAGGTCATCCAGAGGTCAGGTGTGTGTGTTGACAGGGAAAAAAGTGCAGAGACAGATCTAGTTAGAGAAGGATCCAGCCAAAGCCTGAAGCGTAGCTGGCGGTATCGCATGGCTCACCATCAATTCAACCTGACCCAATGGCATTCGTCAAATTGGCCTGAGCATTGCTTAAGAAAACAAGAGAGTGCTTAACACACACATGCATAGAGAGTCAAGGTCATTGTCTCACTTTTTCTTTAGGCAGAGGTCAAGGTCAAGTTAAGGTCAGTGTGGGGATCAGAGGTTAATGCTGGGGTGCGTTCAGCACTGAGGTGTGGCTTGATTGTCATAAGTCTGCATGGAAACAGACTGATTGGCTCTCTCACTATTAGGACTGGATTTAACCAATAAGCAAAGTAAGCAGCCGCTTATGCCTAGTTCAGACTGCGTGATTTTAGCCCTGATTTTGGCTCGCCGACAGCTTTTGAGAAATCGCCGACAAACGCCTGAAATCACAGGCAAATCGCTGCTCGTGCATGTGAGTGACAATCACACAGTATGAACTATCAAATAACTAGTTAAATTAGGGTTAAAATTCCCTTTAAACCCAGGTGAGCAAATATGTACATTTTCTACCCCATTAAAGGCTTCTTTCTCATTATGTAGTTATTAACAAAAGATATACTACGTGTTTTTGGGTGTGAGATGTAGTTTGGACAAACTTGTCGGCGATTCTTCCTATAGTACAGTCATGCAATGTGAAAGTCCCTGTCTCTGATCCATCTTGCAGTGTAAACAAAGCAGCAACGAAACGCTAGCCCAGATAGTCATGCAGTGTGAAAACATCTGTGACACGACTACTTTGAAAATCATGCAGTCTGAACTCGGCATTAGGGCTCCTGGACATC